CAGAACAACATTCCCCTCTAAAACGCGCACTGCGGTGATCAAAAGTACAAGTGAAAGCTGAAGCCAAAGGTTAGAAGACTCAGTAAGAGATGTCCTCATTGCCCAGTAACTATTTTCCGTGTCCTTATCGCTCCAAATCATGTTATTGTTCAACACAGAGCAGACAGCATGCAGGTCTGTGGCTCATCCATCAGCAGTGCCTCGGGGACTTGGCTGGCAGGCTGTACCCAGACAGGATGGATGGACAGGTCTTTAACTGGGGCTCCAAATCTCTTCTGAGCAAAACAACTGCTTTTTAGTGTCTTGCCAACACAGTGTGCACAACTCCGTGTCAGCAGTCCATGTGGTGGAAAAGAAAGAACAACATTTTGGCGTCTGTTCTACTCGCTAGGACTTCCCTGCCCACCAGCAACACATGTGCATAATGATTTCCTTCACCAAACAGGTACTGCTCCAACCAGAGCAAGGCTCCCTTGCACTGATCCAACTGTCTTACTTCCAAGCAATTTTTTTTTTTCCTCCTCAGCCAACACGTTGGCTTTTATCATTCAGCAGGCCACGGGACTGTTTTCCCTAACATCCCCTTAAGAAGGATGTATTTTTCAAAACACTGCCATTCCATTCACTAAAAAGGGGTTTTGATGTGGCTACTTCAAATCAAAACCATGAGCTTTCCTCTCCCCACGCCCACCGACTTAAAATCTGCCCCCAACGCCAGTGGTTCAGAACTATCCAAATAAAGTAGTTGCTTTAAGGACTGTTTGCTTTTCCTCTCAGGCTCCTTCTCCCGACGTTATATTGTTTGTGGAAAAAGAGTTCTTTGGGTGGGTCACTTAGTGTCGTGGCTAAGAAGCTGTACTTGATGTCTGGTTCTGTGTAGAAGAAAAACATGTCAGAACAGTCTTGCAAATAGAGTTTTCTTTTTTCCTCCATGTCAGGATGTTACCTTTTTCCCTCCATGAAACAGCTCATTCCCATGAAAAACAGCGTTGCAAGGACACGTGCTGGGTGGCTACAAAACACAGCAAACATAACCCTCCTTTCATAGCAGGAAAACAAATTACTTTCTGAATAAAGCCTCCCATGCAGCTCTGCATGTTAACATTGCTTGAGCACTTACTCCTGAATATCTTTATATTAGGCAAACATGCTTCGTTATTCTTAATTCTGCCTGCCAGATTGCAGCCCCTTAAATTACTGTTACACGGGGTTTTGTCAACGATGTCATCTTCCTCCTCCATCTTCCCCTCCCCAGCTTTTTACTTTAAAGCAGATTCTCTGACCAACCACTCCTCCAACACACTTACACGGAGTGGCATGCACACCGTGAGCCAAAAATGGCATTAATGCATTTTTCTTCTGCAGCTTCGGGATGATGTGGATGTGCGTTGCCCCGGAGAATGCTCTGTTTTCTATTCCTGTGTTTGATACTGTGCAGCTGGGAAGCCACGTTTCACAGGTGGTTGGTGAGCTTATTAGATTATTCATAACTGTTTTTATTTCGTTTCTTTTTTTATTATTATTATTTTAAAGCAATTACAAACATGTGTCTAAGGAGGCCTGCGATGATTAGAAGCACTGTTGACATCTATTTTCCAGTTACCTTTTGCTGTTTTCACTTGGGCTGTACAGAGCCCAGTGCTGGTACCCATACGAGCACAGCTTGCATATCATAGCTTGGAGCCCACAGCAGCCAAAGGAGCTGCAACTGCCTGCTATTCCTGTTGGAAATTATTTGTTTTTAAAATAAGGCATCATTTGTTGAAGGTTTATCAGGGATCATTTGGTGAGAAATTTCTGCTGGGAATAAGCAGCAATCACAGTAATAATTACAATAATGGTGATGAATGTTTTGAGTCGTTTTGTCTGCTGATGATCTGGGAGCAGTGACAAATTCTAGACACAAAGCAATTCATTTGAGGCTGAGTTCCCAATCCATGGTGATCTTGAAACAAGAAGAAGGGTAATAAGCGCCAAAGGATTCACTAATGGAGAGAAGCTGAGCCAATAGATGAGGCCAGACCAGACCCCACTACTGCAAATCAGACTAAACTGCAACGGTGCAACACAGAGCTCTGCAAGCCTCTGCTGGGACTGTCCCAGCCATGTGTGATCCAGACCTCAGCTCTGCATCTTCTCCAGAGGAGGACTCCAGTAGCACCCACGTGGGCTGCTCAGCTTCTGCTTCCCAGAGGACTGACTTTGCTGAGGTGTTGAGTTTTGACTGGCTTGCATTCAAGCTGTATGTCACCCTATCAGATAGGCAGACCCTCAAAAGCTGAGCTGATTTTCTAAGAGGAACTCCTAGCAGCAGAAAGCATGACACTGTTGTAAGTTGTGAATAGGATTTTTGTGATCCTTTTGTTTCAAAAAATAGGATTCATATTTCCTTAAAACTGGACCTTTAAAGGATTTGTGCATGGAATGGAAAGGTTGATATGGCACTTAGGGACACGGTTAGTAGGCATGGTGGGGTGGGTTGATGGTTGAACTGAAAGATTCCGAAGGTCTTTTCCAACTTTAATGATGCTATGAGAAGGAGTACTAAGATTAATATTAGAAAAAGTAGCAGTGACAGGTGGCACCCACAGTGCTGTGGATATAATCCCTTCTTGAACATACAGCCTTGTCGAAAGCAAAGACACAACACTCAGTAGCCTTCAAAATCCCTTGATCTCCTGTCTTCAGCACAGATTGCAGGAGTAAATCCACAAGCCTTGTACGGAGGAGTGCCAAGTTAGCCCTATAGACAGTGCAGACCCTGCCAGCTCAGGCCAGAAATCCCTTTCTTTTCTCCAACTCTTCTGCTGTTAAATAATTCAGTTGCTGAAAAGCTTTGTTTTTAAATGCTCCTGGCTTATTAGTATCCCTCGTGCATCACAGTTTTCTGCATTGTCTCCTTCTCTGCTTTCAGGTCATTTCTTATACACAGGAAACGAGAACAGGATGGCGAAGTTTGCATGAAATATCTCTTCTTGCCTGGGAGAAAACACAGACTGCTGACTCAGGCCATGCTCACAAACACTCCAAACTCTGCAAAATATATAGCCCCAGCACTCCTCCAGCTGCACGCATTCCCACCCTGTCTGCCATGACACATCTGCACAATCAGCCACTTTGAAAGTCACCCATCTTGAAGAGCTGCTCTTCAGAATATCAGAGGGAAACTTACCAACATTTAGGAAGACAGAGGTTGGTTGAGGTTGAGTATGTACAACCAGTGCAAGCCAGAGCTGCAACAGGCGCTGCCTGTGTGGCAAACGTCCCTCTCATCATGTCTGCTGGGTACACATGGAGATTGCCACGAGTGCTGCTCCTCGGTGACCTTTCACTTGCAGGAGGAAATGAACTTCTCTGCTCCATCCTGACATCTGCAAGCAAGCTGAGGCTTATTTGAAACATTTCAGTAAGGATGATCGCATGGGACAGGCAGGGCTGTACTTCCCAGTTTGCCCACAGGTCTCACCTTTAATCACTTTGTGGAGACCAACGTCACATCTGTCTTGTCAGGGAGGGTGGATGAGTAGAGGAGAGGCCAAATTGACTCAGCTATTTTTTCACCCCTTTAAAAGCTCTTCAAATTTGTCCCAATTCCTACTTTCCAAGTGAGAAGCTAGAGCGAAAGCTTCATTAAGTAGCCATGGAAACACCTATGGAAAAGAAGCAACCTCACAGCTAACCTAAAATGGACACAAGGCAACAAATCGGGCTTTAATCAAGGCAATCTGAAATCATTCCAGAATTTCATTTTGCAAACACTGGTCTTCTTGCTCCAAATTTACCCACCTTCCCAGCTGAAGGCCTGTTCCTGCTGGCTCAGGCACTTTTCTGCTTGTGAGTTTGGTGTTCTGAGCTATTTCCCAGAGTGGAGAGGTGGGCTGCGCTCACAGGGCTGTCTGTGATGCTCCACACAGTCAACGGAGGTCACTGACAACATCGCTCTGAAGAATGAACTGAATTTCCTGACAAGGCTGGGATCCAGCAGATTGCATCCAGCCCACCTGCACCCCATCTCACCCATACCATGCCTGGATCTACAACCACTACTGATGCCCTTATAGAAACTGGGAATAAAGTTCCAGTTAGCCTCTCTAAGATCAGACTTTGTTCAACTTGGAGTTACTTTGATCCCACTGGCTGTTGTACCTTCTTTGTCTAGAGGTTCCATCCCACTGCTCTCTCTTCCTTTACTTTTACTGGAGGTGGAGATGCCTTGCTGCTTGGATAGCTAATCAGCCCTGGAAGGCACAGGGCTTTAAATAACAGCAGGCTATGCCACCTGAAGTCTCCCAGGATTAAGATGGGTTTTAATTGTCTAATGTAAGAAATGCATTTGGTTTTTGTGGGTTGGATTCCTGCTGGTGAGGTGAGAAAAGCATCCTTCTGCCAACAGTCTTGCCAGGTTTTATCTCTTTTCCTCCACTTCTGGGTTATTAATGCTAGATCCTTTTTGATTAGCTGAGCTGCTGGTGTGGCTTGTGCTTCCCTTCTCACCTGCACAGATCGCTTTTGCAAATGGTGTGATCTCTTCCTCTGGTGCCACTGCAGAGATCGTTCTGCATGAGCATAATCCCCTCCCAGCTGCACCATGTTGATTTTCCTGGAGCACAATGCTGCTGCTCCAAGGCTTTACTGCGGCCCTGATGGGTTGGTTTGAGCTGCAGGGAGCTGTCAGCGAACTGCATGCTCCTCTCAAGTTTCACTCCTCCATCGCTCTTCTCTTGCAACTTGAGCTCTTTATTTTTCTTGTGCAGGATCTGATGATATCTGGGCACAGTACGGTTCAAGCCGGGGCCTCAGCAAAGTTGCCTCACTTTAGAGAGTTGGGAAAAGATGTGACTCTCCTATTTCACCCAAACTGAGCAGTTGGTGGTAGAAAATACAGGAAAAAAAGCTTTCTCTTCCCTGTTCTCCCCTCCTCCCCATGAGCACTGCTGCTTACCCATATTTTCCCAAGTGCTTTCTCTGCTCTTTTTCATAGAATCAATGAAGCAACTCACTCCTTGGGGTTTATATCCCTTGAGGAAAAGGCAGAGCAGCTTGCAGAACCAAATCCAGCTCTTTGTTCCTTTGTGACCAGCATGGCAAACGGTGGGAAGGGGATTTTGCAGCCCAAACTTTGCAGCCTTTTACATCGCTGCCTGAGCTGACACCTTTCCTTTGAAATGGAGAACGTGGCAGCGGTTTGCATCCAGTATCTTGAGCCTTAATCCAACTTCTGCAAGGGATTCAAGATTTTTGTGGGCAGTTTCTTTTTATTATTATTATTATTATTATTCCTCCCCTGACCCACTTTGCCGCTGCGCTTGGATAAATAATTTCTGCAGAGTAGGAAGTGCAGCCAAAGTAAGTAGCTTAATGTCTTTTCTCGGTAAAAAATCATAAAATTATCAGTCTCGGATTCACTTCAGCAGTAAATTAAAACTATCACAAACAAAAGCTGCACAAAACTGAGTGGTGAGTGCCTTCCTGCGTTACTTATGGTCATGCAATAAAGCTGTGTTTTCAGCCGGGGCACAAAAGTGAAGCTGGTGTGAAATCTGGAAGCGGTTTTCACCCAAGCATCACCCAGTGGCCTCATCCATCTTGTATGATTGATTCGTCCCGTGTTGTCCTTGCGGGCCTGAAAGGAAAACAGTGAGAGGAGATGCCATAGCATGTTATTTTATGACATATCACAGGTTGGAATATCTCAGAGCTTATTCCTTCTTATTGATAGGATGAGAGGGAATGGCTTCTACTTGTGCCAGGAGAGGTTCAGGTTGGATATTAGGAAATATTTCTTATCCAAAAGCGTGGGCAGGTGCTGGAATGGGCTGCCCAGGGAAATGGTTGAGTAATTGCTCATGGAGGTGTTCAAGAAACATTTGGATGTTGTGCTAAGGAATATGGTTTAGTGGGGGAATGCTGGTGGTGGGTTTATTGTTGGGCTGGATGATTTTGGAGTACTTTCCAACCTCGGTGATTCAGAGAAGTGAGCTGGTCCCAGGAACACCTCTATGAATACAGCCCTCAGTGGGCTTTGCCCACTCCGCAGGAGGAGTGATAGGCTCCTCATCAAGCACACAGCATATCTTCCTCCACAGCTAAATGATTGAGCATATTCTTACCTAAGGACTTTGTGAAGAGAAAACCAATTGGATCCTGCCATGTCTACGGCTCCTCTGAGCACCCTCATCAAGCTTTGAGCATCCCTGTTCATTGCAGGGCAATTGGATCAGATGGCCTTTGAAGGTCCCTTCCAACTCAAACAATTATGCAAAGGATGAAGTACAGAGGCACTCAGTACCCTCCTTCCCCTTATGGCCCTTTCCTTGCTCTTTTCCATTTAGTCCTCAGGTGGTGGTGTTACAAGGTTAGGTTTTTTTCCCTTTTGAATGCCAGAAATGGTCACCAGATACTCTCATCCCCTGACGGTTACCTGATCGTTTCTGCACACACTGCCAGGAGGTTCCTATCTGTAGATCTTAAGAAGCCCAAAGTTATGCCTTTCTGTGCTGGCTCCAGACAATCAGGTAAAGTTTTGTCCATGCCCTAAGGACACATAATAAAATAAAATAAAAACAGAGAAATTCAGATAAACTGGAAAAGAAACATAACCTCAAACTCATTTTTGGTTAATATGAACGGAGCTGACATTATCACTTATCATTAAATTTCATCTGATTCTCTGTGCTGTCCCACCTTGTCTGTACGGCACTAACAACAATTACAGCATTTTTTAGCACCTTAAGCCAATCTGGAAAGGAAATTTCATTTCTTCTCAACCACACTTGTGGTTTAAAAGTTCTCCATAACGGAAAAGGCTGTGAAGCACTTACTCGTCTGCCCCAATAAAAGTCTTTCTGAGGATGAAAGGCTTCATGTTTTCCAATATTCACCAGAGCAACCAGCTAGAATTTCACACAAAATTTTAATTCATCATATATATATTTAAATCCTGGAGACCTGATCTGGATAGGATGGTATATCTATCATATATTACGTGTACTGATCAACAATCACACAGATCTTGATGGAGATTATTTTGCACTCAGCAATTTCCTGCAGCCACATATTGATGTGTCGACATGTGGATACACTGATACACTGCACATCTCCTCAAGACTCAGCCACCCACTATCCTGGTGCTGCCAGTGTGCCAGCAGAGATCAACAACCTGAGAGACCTTCCACATCCTCCTGAATGTGTGGGAGACACAGAGGCTCACAGAACCTCCTCTATCCATAGGGTTTTGCACTATCTCCATGGAGTCCATTGCATTTTGGCTCTCTGGGAATGGAGTTTGCAGTCCCTGGATGCAGGTAATGCCTGGCAGCAGCAGGCAGGTGCACCACATAGCAGGCTGCACTCCTCCTCCTTCCCACGGTTGCATGCTCACTGCTCCATTGGCACAGATTTATTTCCATGATCGATTTGTAGGAAGAAAAGAGCCAGATAAGAAATATGTTTTTAATAGTAATGTCACCAGTGAATGCTGAGGATCTTGATATCAGCCATTAAGTAAAAGCAGGGGTGGAATGAGCATCATTTGTCTGTTGCCAGCTTCTCCCAACTGGCTTTCATTTAGACAAGGAAAAAAAATATCTCATCACTGCTATCCAGGTAACAGTGAAATATATTTGTTGTCAGCAACAGGTCAGAATGCAGAGATACATTATCCTCAGCAAACTGACTTTCTGAGCTAAACGCTGGATCCTTTTCCTCAATTATTCACATATGTTTTCTGGTTTAATAATAACCCACGTGCTGTCCTCTAAAGAAAGCTTGCAATGTGCTGTCTGCATGATGTCCAACCAGAACCCGTGCATCTGCTCGGCCATTTCTTCACAGTTCCACAAGTTCCACAAGTGCTGAGCCACAGAAGTGACATCAAGAAAAGTATCAGGATAGAGTGCATCAAGTTAAAGTATAAAAATAAAATTACCCACCACAAGATTGCAAGGAAAGCTTTAATGTCACAGCTTTGGCAGAGAGACTTGAATAAGAACCTAAGCAGCATGCTGGTCACAGTATAATAGCTAACTGATGTTCTCCCCCTGCACAAAGGCACTCCATCATTCAGCATGTTTAGAGGTGTCTGCCACTATGTTGTAGCACAACACACTGCATTCCACTGCAGAATAACATGTATGTAGCCCTATATGATGAATGGTCACACTTGCTGCTTAGCAAGTGCTCGGTGGCTTTGATGTACAGTTTTGTTTGGTGCGTGACATGTGACAGCAGCGTTGCCCCAGTAAACAAGTGTGTGCTCTGGTCCGAACATACACATTGCTTCTGTTACACGGCAGAGCTGCATGGCAGATGTCTGTCCTTCCCTCTTGTTCTCTTTCTTCCTTCCAGCATTTGCCTCGGCCCTTCTGCAAAGCAGATTACTTTCCTGCCCACGTAGGCCTGGACCGTTTTTCTATCAGTGTGGCTGATACATTTTCTTACCCCTTGAATTCAGTGTGGGTGCAAGAGGTTGTTCACCTTCAGAACAGCAAAGGTAAAAGCAAAACAGCAAGCACATGAGCTGAGCTGGGGTGATGATCCTTTGTATGCTGCTGTGGGGTTACCATGCAAACAGCAATCAGAGCCATGGGCAGCTCCTACAGCTGATCAATAGTATCATAGAATCACAGAATCATTATGGTAAAAAAGACCTGTGAGGCCACCCAGTCCAACCCCAACCCACCCACCCATGCACGCTGTCCACGTCCCTCAGTGCCACATCCCCATGGTTCTGGAACACCTCCAGGGATGGTGAAGGGGTAAATCTCCTGCTCACATCATCATTCATGTCTTGTTTCCTGGCAGCAGAGAGGTGCCAGCTCAGGAGACATCACTGTGATGGGTGACACTGTGCTCAGGGCATTGCAAAGCCTCACATCAGGCTATGGATCCAGGACCTGGGCTGCTCTCCAGTGGGGGTTTTATGTTTCTGATAGAAAAAACAAACGCTTCGAAAAAACAGATGGTGTTCATGTAACCAAATCCTGCGTCCTCTGTGGAAAAAGTTCAGTGGGAGATTTCTGACCAGCATCAAACACTCTGCCAGCCATGATAGCTCAGTGATCCCCCAGAAATGAAAGACTAAGGAGTTCCGGGTTCCCCTCCTCCCGTGCATCCCCTCTTGGTGGTGCTGGGCAGCCCTGCATTGAGTCCTGGCTCTCCAGGGATCACATTCAAGTGTAGCACAGTAAAGCCTCATATGATTTCCATATGTCCCTCTGCCTGAATATTTCGTAACTGATTCACATTGAAAAAAAAAAAAAAGAAAAAAAAAAAATAACTTATGAACACATTATCCTGACAGGAACAATTCTTGAAGTAGTGGGACATACGATGGCAGAGACTTTGAAAGGAGGTTGTTATTATCCAGTAGCATTTTTCACTGGTTGTCTACGAAATTTACGTCAATGAGTCACATCCTTTGAAGAGAAAGAATAAGAAGTGCCCTGCAGGACAGGTGAGCTCCTCCCTGAGCCTCCCCATGGCTATTTAGCTATGTGCAGCCCTGCCAGCAAGGCGATTAGCTGAACAAGCCACAAATCCAGATGCATGGGATGGGAAAGAAAATGATCCAAACTTCAACATATGGGTTTTGCTACAGCTGCGGCCGCAAGTGCTGACTCCTTTGCTGGAGGATGCAGAGCGGCCAGATGGAAAGAAAACCAGCCCCACTGCCTCTGCCATGACAGCACAGCTCTGGGGTGATGTGGCTCTTGTGAGATTCTAGGATTGTGCATGGGATGCAAAAGCCCCGGTCACAACCTCCACGCTGACTATTTTATGGCCCCATATCAAACATAACATGGATTTCTTCTGGATGTTCCACTCCTGGCTGGATGTATTAATGTGGGTTCATTCAACCCCTCCCGAGGTGTTCTTCCTGAGAAAAACAGACAGTTACCCTTTGCACCTGACTTCAAATTGCCTTTCCAAAGCATAATATTTCAAAGGCGCCCAGTCCTGTAGCGCCCAGTCTGGAATCATCCCCAGATGGCAGCCCTGGCATTATATTTAATATCAGAACAGGGCCACAGCTGAACGACAGAACCGGCCCCAAACCCCCTATGACCACCCTAGAAGGACAGACAGGTCCCAGGAGCTCACAGAATCACAGGGGTTGGAAGGGACCTCAAGAGAACATTGAGTCCAACCCCTCTGCTAAAGCAGGTACCCTACAACAGGTTGCACAGGTAGGCGTCTAGCCAGGTCTTGAATATTTCCATAGAAGGAGACTTCACCACCTCACTGTGCAACCTGTTCCAGTGCTCTATCATTCTTATTGTATAGAAGTCTATCTGTATGTCCTGCAGATGTCTTGGCTTCCCACAAAGAGTGTTGAAGTGAATCCATGAGAAAAGCCGCTCTGTACATCTCTGTATTTGCTTCCCACCTCATGGAAGTTCATCCCTTCCTTTAAACTAGGAATGAGAAAGATGACTAAAGCTAATGGAACAATAATACTGCATTAACTGCATCTGAGAGTGGCTGGGGAGACGGTGTGTTTTCAGTGTGAAGGCTTGTTCAGCTTCTTGTGAATTTGTAGTAAATCAGCACTTCATAATAAGAACAAATGTTCCCTTCTCGCTTTAAAATTACTATGGTTAGAAGCTTGTAATGTGTAGTTTTCATGCAGGGGTTACATGATGGGAACTTAAATCTGTTGCATTTTCATCTGTAATTTAAAACGTGTCATTTTGATCGATGAATTAGTAAAGGAACCCAGGATAATTTTGAAACTACGAGCTTAGTCAAGTTGCCTGACCTTGCAAATAACCTTTTCAGTTTCAAGGCCTTTAATAGCTTAACTATTAGCTAATCTCCTGGGAAACATTTTTCCCTGGGCAAAACTAGAATGGAAATATAACACCAGTAATAAGGTTTCCATCTTTCTTCTATCTTGATCTTTTTAATTAATTGCCACTCAGTAAAAACACAGACTGGGAGGCAGGGGATACAAACCCTTGCAAGGGGAGGGCAGGAATTAACTACAGACCGTTTCCATCCTTTACCTGCCCTTCTTGCATAGATTCCTTAGGTGCTGAAATATATTAGCAATCGTTAAGGTCTAATTTCTGCTTGAGTGCTTGACACTTTGGGCTGAAAGCTGTGAAATAGATCACTTTGTCATGGAGAAAGAAAAGCCACTCAGTGCTTAAAAGGAACAAATATACAAAAGCCCTGAATGCTTTGCAGAGCACCACAACCAGCCCCTGAGAGCTTTTGTGTTGCAGACCTTTTGGAGCTTGTTCTTAGGTTTTCTGGATTGCTCCTGGGGAAGGGCAATGGCTTTTCCAAGGGCGAGCAGGAATTGCAAATATTTGGTTTGTCATAAGCAAAGCAAAAGGTGAAGAGGACCAGATGGAAGTTCACTACCCAGTTGACATGTGGATTGACATTTAGTCCAAAAAAGGCCTTGAGTTCCTGCGCATCTTTTTTAGTTTACTTTTCCAAAGTTTCTGGTAGCATTGTATCTGGCCTTCTAAAACAAGTTCTGTGTTGAATAGGTGGTTTTCCCTATCTCCTTACCTAGTAGATGAAAAGCTTATTGCTTATTGTAGGTGCACCCTTTCTCATGCTATTTGTGGAAAAAAGAAAATCCATTTTCCAGGCTCCATGGTGACCACTTGCCATTACTATCTGCCAGGCCAGGTTGATCCCCCTCCCAATTGGGGTAGGGCCAGCAGCGTGCCAGGCACCCAGCAGGACCTGGGTTGTGCTTCTACTGCTACTCATTTCACTCTGTTTCACACTATCAACCTTATTAACTTCTGCTATTCCAGTGATAAGAAACCAGATTCATGGAACTGAAAGGAAAGGTCCTTTCAAACATGAATGTTTCTGTTTTTTGGGGGGGAAAAAGTGCTTTTAGTTATTTATTTATTTGCGAGGGAAGAGTACAGTGAAACTCTCACTTACCCACAAGCACCTTTTGTTGGGATGAAGATCATCCACCACTCAGCTGAAGGCACAGTTGGCGTAGCAATAATGTGGTTCCTGGATGGAGTCATGGAGTTTTGGTGTGCAGATCCATGGAGGTTCCCCACAAGCTTATCTGTAGCTCCTACAATTTATTCAGCAGTTCTGTGCTTCAAGCTTTTTGGCTATGTGAGGGAAGGTAAGCCCTATCTCTGCACTAGCATCTGCTCTGGCACCATCCGTCTGCACTACTGATCTGCAAACATCTCCTTCTCCGTTGAGAATGTGCAGATCCAAGCTGTGTGTGATTGACTGCATGCAGAGTCCTGCTCTGCAGGCTCTGTTTTGAGTGAAAATGAGCTTCGTCCTTGCTCGGTGACTGGTGCTGCTTGGTGACCTTTGAACCAGCACTTAAGCCCCCGGAGCACAGAAATTAGACCTCAGTCTGGAAGGACCTCTGCTCCAACAGATGACCTGTTATTTTATCTTGAACAACGGCAGCCGGAGGAGCGTTGGCACATGGCTTTTAGAGCTAATCACTCACTGCTTTGAGGAGAGCAGGAATTTCATTCCCTCCCCCATCAGCAACCTGGGACTTTATTGCATGTCTGGATCCTTTCAGGCTGATCCCTCCTTAACGTGTTCTATTTATTTCCCTTGGGCCCACACTTGTGACACAATGACTGGACCTCTCTAGCACAGGAGGTGGAAGCTGTTCACCAGAGCTCATTGAACCTAATCCCTTCCCTATTGCAAATCCCTGTTGCTCCTCTCCCAGAGCCCACCTGCAGTGTGTTTCATCGTTCTGGGATCTCCACACTGAGCCTGAAGTCTCCCATGTCCAAATATAGTCTTCTTGACTCTTCCACAACAATCGTCCATCCTTTCAGATGTACAGAAGGCAATCCAAGGAAGAGGTGAAAAGGGAAAGGTCCCCAGCCCCCTTACTTTCCTGTCAAGCATACCAGCAAAGCTGGGATCTATGACCAAAGTAAACAAGGAATCTCAATTTGGGCTGGTGATTCAGATCCTGAATTGGCTCCTCCAGGCGGGTCCTGATGGCAGGTTTGCTCCAGACCTTCTGACACTACCATGGGATCAAAGCTTGGAAGCTCCCTGAAGTCAGGATAAGACTCCAGATCTCCAAGCAGATCTTGGCATGGCCTTCTGGTCTGTTGGCTGCAATAACAGATGCAGTTACTGCAGGAGATGTGCAATATCTCAGGAAACAGAAGAAATGAACCTTTCTTGTTTGTCCAGAGAATCTCTAAGTGTAAGTGTAAGTATATTCTCAGTATGTCAGCTGTTACCTCCTCCTCACACCAGCAACCTTTATGGCAAATTTACGTTTCAGGTCTCCATGGGTTTACCCCAGACCATTTGCACCACATATGAGTACCTGGTCCAAACACTGGATGCACACATGGCTTTCTTGGAGGTCTGTGAGCTAATGGCACTGTACCTGTCCTCCCAGCAAGCCACTCTGCAACCCACAGAAAAGCCATTTAGCAAAAAGACTGGACTGAAAAGCTCCTGTCTGGTTTGGGACATTGCAATTGCAGAAGAGAATTCATGGCATCTTGCAGAGGACTGCACTCAAAGTAAATAATATTATTTTAGAAAACAAAATTCATTTTGCAGCCCGAGACCAACTGCAACAGGATACGAAGCAGGGGGAAAAAAAGTAAAAATGCCTTGCCCCTAGGGCTATTTATTATTTATGCACCACTGTGCCTAGATAAACTGCCCCTTGAAAGAGTAGGACGAAAATAATTCTGCAATGTGGAAACAAACTACCTATTTAAAGTGATTTTATGCCTGAATGGCCTCATTATAAAAACAGTCTGTGTGCAATAACTTTTTACCTTTTTCTACATTATCCAATGAACTGCTTTTTGTCACTCTCACCAGTTCAGTGCTTTCATGCAACCACCTTGGTGGAAAGCCTCCGTGGTTTCCTTAGAAACGTCTTCCTTCCTGGATGTTGACCGATGGTGGTGGAGGCAGCAAAAGCCCTGGAGAGGCCCTGTTCAAACAGGAAAGAGCAGACAGTTTAATGACCAGCTTTGCAGCTCTATTCGTCCATGGTTTACAGTAGTTGGGAGCTATAAAAAATCATAACGAATGTTTCTTTATTTTATGGCCAGCTTGGTGTTGGTGTTTTCGACAAACTATGGTGGGATGCAAGCCAAACCTGGAGCTCATGGGCTATTGTTGGACAGCAATGGGGAAGATGGTTGGCTTGCAAAATGTTGGTGCTTGGGAGATGGCTTCTGTGCCCAAACAGACTTTGACATTTGAAAAAGAGACATTCTCATGAGCTTACAGGTATATTCATAAGTCAGTGGCACAAGGAAGGTACTATGAGAGGCTATAAATAATGTCACCTTTCAAGTGTTGCTGTACTAATACATGAATGCTCTGCAATGTCCATGCAGGAAAAAAGGCTAGAGTCCAACAGAGCAGGAGACAGTTGGGGCAAAAGCTTCTTAGGGCAGGATGTTACAGCATCAGGCTTATCTGGGGGCGACTAAGATGATCAGGGGGCTGGAGCACCTCCCCTATGAGGACAGGCTGAGGGAGTTGGGCTTGTTCAGCCTGGAGAAGAGAAGGCTGCGTGGTGACCTCATTGCAGCCTATCAATACCTGAAGGGAACCTACACCCAGGAGGGGAGTAAACTCTTCAAAAGGGCTGACAACAGCAGGACTAGGGGAAATGGATCCAAGTTGAAGGAGGGAAGATTTAGGTTGGATGTTAGGGGGAAGTTCTTTACAAGGAGAGTGGTTAGGCCCTGGAATGGGCTGCCCAGGCAGGTTGTGGATGCCCCGTCCTTGGATGTGTTTAAGGCCAGGTTGGACGGGGTCCTGGGCAACCTGATCTGAATGTGTGTGTTTGGTGGCCCTGCTAGGCAGGGGGGTTGGAACTACATGATCCTTGAGGTCCCTTCCAACCCGGGTGATTCTGTGATTCTGTGATCTGCATCTTCGCTTGTGGCCAAACACTTGTTTCCAGCTCAGGCATAGAACCACAGAATCATTAAGGTTGGAAAAAGCCACAGAGATCATCAAGTCCAACCGCAGCCCATCCCCCCCATGCCCACACAGCCAATCCCTCAGTGCCACATCTACCACTTCTTGAAAACCTCCAAGGGACACTGACTCCACCACCTGCACTGATTGCTGCCATTGGCATTAATGGAGATGATGCTAGCAAAGTTGGAGGAGGCTTTTGGGTGAACCTTATGTGAAAAGACACAGTTAGAACTTTCTTCTTTGTACCTCCTACAAAATCTGCCCATCTAAGACATCAATGAGAGCAGTCTGGTCTGGGATCCACCTGTGAACCCATTTTGTGTGCCCTCACAGATGCACTGAGGTTGGAAAGCTACTTATGTTTTCCCAACCTTAAGATTCTATGATTCTACATCTTAGTGCACTTGCTCTGCTGCTCAATCCATAGAGAAATTTTTGTTGCAAGGGCTGGGCATAAGCAGGGAGGAGCAACATAAAGAGGTACAAAAGGAAGAACTGTAATCAACAACAAAAATAAATTATTCAGATGCATTTCTCTTGATATTTTTATGGAAAGCAGGTTTCTCAAGCCAAACAGGAAGGAAAACAAACAATCAACCATAGACAGCTAATTCACAGGCTTTTAGAAGTCAGTTTATCAACCAGGGATCCAGGGACAGGAACTGATGAAGCACAAATCTCCAGGGAAACAGCTGAGGTTTCCAAAAAACACAAATACATAAAAGCCTGAGATGTGCATTTATAAATAAACCCAGGAAAGAGCAGACACCTGATTCCCAGGCTGAGAGTTAGGAGCTGGTGCCCACAATCTTAAGGGCAAAAACATCACATGTAGGTTAAATCAGAAAACGTAAGGCTCTTGAGGGATGCTGAGTTCTGCTTGGCGATGACCTGCTGTGGGCTGAGCTGTTCCATTCACTTCCAAACATTTCCCAGCCTTCAGATAGTTTATGTTTTCAGTGACATGGTAATGGATAGGGTTTTATACCTACAGGCAAGAGTTAAATGGCCTCTTGGTGATGTGTAAATTAGAGAGAAGACAGTTGCTCCAGAGAGAAATGGCAAACAAATATTTATTAGTTGTTCCAAAGAACCGCAGCCATAAAACTCTGCCTTTCGACTGCAGAAGTGTTTGTGTTTTTACTGAAACCAATGCTAAAGGTGATGGTTTTATTCCTGACTGAGGTAACATCTGTAACTCCGTGATTTACTGCCTTCAGGTAATAAGAAAAAAAAGCAAAATACACAGAATGTGTTTTATTTTACAGTGCTCTTGGAGCATGCTAGGAAGATGCCAGGAAGGAATTTAAATACCACTTTATTTGAGCAAAATTACTGTTGATTTCACTAGAACGTCTGACTTGGGGATTGCTGTGATCCTATCAGAGCAATCACTGGCATCCTGGGCAAAGAGCTTGGGCTGAGTGACGATGCAGTGGAGTAGAAGGTGTAACCACGATGATATCAGGGACAGCACGAGCATTGGAGTGCGTTACAGGGGTTAATACCAGATCCAATTCCTGTTTAACAACTCCATTAACAGCCTGAGGTAATGGGCACAAACTGAATAAATGGGAAATGCCACTTATAGGAAAAAAATAGCTTTTCAGAAGGGAGGGAAGTTGAACACTTGTCCAGGTCTCCATCCTGCATCTACCTATAAGCTATCTAAGTCGTCATCTAAACTAAAACAAAACCTGATTAGGCACTTAATTGCCAAGCATGGTATTCAGAAATACAGAGAGGTAATTCAGAAATAAGACTTCAGCCTCAGCAGGGACTGCAAGTAAGGTAAAGCATTGTCCAACAGGAGGGAAGTCGTCAGAATTTAAGGATGCAGCTAAATTAATGCAGTCTCATAATGGATGACTTAAACATCTACATACATAGCACGCATAGACTTCAAAAATTACAGAGATCTCTAAAAAGGCCCATGCTGGATAATTGAGCCAGTTGGTATTACGTGGATAATTCAATATGAAATTTTTTCTGGAATTTTAAAATGACATTGGAACATTCTGTGACTGGGTTGAGGCTAGCTTACACAAGTTGTGTCTAAACCCACACAGAGATGGGAGCTTAGACAGAAAGGCACCAGACACTGATGAAGGATAAGGAAATGATGGAAGCTGTCATTCAGCAAGGAACCTGGGCATGTGCCGGAGCTGAAACTACAGCATTTACTTCAGCTTACCTGCAATGTGTGCTTGAATGAACGAATGGCCTGAGCATATACAAGGAGGGATATAGAATAGGTACAGAGTGTGCTGTTTTCTTGTTCCCACTCAGGAAT